AAACCTGGCTCCCAGGCTAGACATCACTTCTTCTCCGCGCCCTGGGCTCCTCGCGCGCAGAGGGACAACAGCCCCCTCGCCCCGGACCTGGTGGAGAGAAATCTTCTCGGGAGCACGAGGTGCCGGGGCTGAGCCGTGCGGCCGGAGGTCTCCGAGCTCAGTGGGAGCTGCCATTTCCCCAGACACTTGCCCACTTGCCGCTCCAGCGGAAGGAGGGGCCGGGGTCCTGCAGTGACCTGCCCCCCTGGAGCAGGTGCAGGAGGTGCTGCTGAGTGTGTGTGTGAGGGCGTGCGGCAGGGACGCTGCCTGAGAGCCCTATTGCCCAGGAGGAATGAGAGCCAGGGAACTCGTACGGGGCCCTGTGCCGACTCAACTGGATTTGGCTCTTCCTTTGGCAAACGTCTGCCTGTGTCCCCCACGGTCCTCCCCGCTGAGCCTGAGGCGGCCTGTCCTCTCCATCACCCCCCACTCCCAGTGAGGCCTTGGCTCCCATCCCTAGAGCCAGGGCTGTCCTGAGTCCTCCTATGGTGGTGCCATGACCTGGCCTCTGGCCCACTCAGGCCAGCTGGCTCCCTTCCCTCCCCCTGCCTCCTGCTGCCTTCCCCGCCCTGCCGCCTGCTCCTCCACCCCCGGCCATGCACCAGGCAGAACATTCTGGTCCTGTGAGTGTGAGCACTGCTCCCCCTTCGCCTCTGTGGGCCCCGGCTCAGGTGCCCATGCACGAGGGCCCTTTCCTGGTCAGGAGAGATGGGATGGTCAGGTGGTCAGGGGCTGGGGCTCAAGGCTCAGACTGCCTGGTTTAGCTCCTGATTGCATCCGTTTTCCTCGCCTCTAAAACGCAGGGATGTAAAACATTAGGCCGTGCCTGGCCTGGCCAGCGCCTCCGTCAGCAGGACCCGAAGGCCAGGCCTGCACCGTCAGCCTCACAGTGCTGGTGACCATCACGTGGCGTCCAGTTAGAGCAGGGCCGGTGCTGAGGGCGGGCTCTGGACGAGGCCTCAGCTCTCACACCTTCCCAGTCGTGGGCCCTGGGCAGGATCGTGCCCCCTAAGCTTCTGCCTCAGGGTCTGTGAAATGAGGACAGGAATGCCTGAGCCCCGGGGTGGGGGGCCCTGAGTGGATCCCACTGCATGAAGCCTGCTTGGTCTGGCTTGTGGGAGCCCTGCCAGGGGTAGGTATCCCTGTCGGGCTGAGGCTCAGGGGGTGGTGTGCCCTGCCCAAGGTTACAGAACAGGTTGATGGCAGAGCTGGGATTTGAACCCAGAGCTGGGTTGGCAGCTCCCCCAGCCATCTTCAGAGCCCCGCACTCATGCCTGCAGAGCTCTGTATGAGGCTGGGTTCAAGGAACATGGGATGCAGGCCCACACGCACCCCAGTTACTAGGGAGCTTCTGCTCCCCACAGGCACCCCAGTGTGCACACCCTTCCCCTGAGCCCCTGGAGGCCAGGCATTGGTGCCCAGAGACCCCTGGGTGCCCCATGCAAATATTGGTGGGTGCGTGCTGTGAGGCAGACGGTATCTATCAGCACAGCAGCCTAGAAGCAGGCTGCTAGCCTGTTTAAATAAATCTTTATTGGGATATGATTCATGTATTATATAACTGACCCATTTAATGTGTATGATTCAATGGCTTTTACAAATATGTTCATGCCCTAGCCGGTTTGGCTCAGTGGATAGGTCAGCGGCCTGCGGACTGAAGGGTCCCAGGTTTGACTCCAGTCAAGGGCACATGCCTGGGCTGCAAGCTCAATCCCCAGGGTGGGGCATGCGGGAGGAAGCCAATGAATGATTCTCTTTAATCACTGATGTTTCTATCTCTCTCTCCCTCTTCCTTCCTCTCTGAAATCAATATATACATTCAGAGCTGAACAACCATCACTACAATCCATCCTAGAACGTTTTTATCACCCCTAATAGAAGCCCTGCATCCATTAGTAGTCTCTCCCCATAACTCCCTACCCCTGCCTTAGGCAACCACTAGTCTACGTTGCAGGTGGAGAAACAGCAGGTGCAAAGGCCTAGAGGTGTCGGCTGCCTGGTCTGGGAGCCGAAAGGAGTTCTGTGCTGTGAGAGCAGAGGGCTGGGGGGAGGGAGAGAGGCAGAGAAAGGCACAGTAGGTGGCAGGGCTGGACACAGGCACAGGTCAGGTTTGTATTGTACTTTCTTGAGGAAACTAAGCCATAAATACACATTTTTAATTAAATATATATTAGTGAAAGTAGATTTATTTCAAAACTATTTCTAGCCGAAGAGTTATATTTTCATCTGCTTCATCTATAAAGACATTTATGGTTCCATAAATATGGTCATTTTCATTTCAGTGATTGTAACACAGGAAAGCTAGATGGTTTCTGAGCTTCTCCCTTAAAGGACTTGTGCATTGGTTTGTGTGTGTCTCTGTAGTAGGAATGATATTGATACATTAGGAGCTCAGTGCACAAATGTGTGCACCTTGAAAGGAACTATGGGCTGCAAGGCTGCGGTGGCCCATCCTCCACGCCCCCCCCGGCCCCTCCCACCGGGGCCCCCCATCCTGCCTGGTCTGTTCCCTTTCTGCCAGCAGCCCTGCTCCCGCCACCACTGCTCCCACACGCTGACAGCACTGGCCCCCGCTCGCACCCACCAATGGCGCGAAGTGATTGGGGCTGGCGCGGCAGCAGGTGCAAGTGCCTGGTGGGACCATGGCACAGCACGGGAGCAAAGAATTTTCAGTAACCACCAGAGGCTCGCCCCATGTCAGTGACTGGCGACCAGCTTTGGTCTGGTGCGCCTGCTCACCTGCCCAACCATCCCGCTGCAGCTGACACCCACCATGTTCTGTGCATGCCCCCTGGTGGTCAGCACATGTCATAGCAAATGGGTTTTCAGTTGTTTTGCTATTTGCATATTAGGGTTTTATATATAGAGATGTGTTGCTACCTATTTAAGAATAAATCTGCCTGGCCAGTGTGGCTCAGTGGTTGAGCATCAACCTATGAACCAGGAGGTCACAGGTTCAGTTCCCAGTCAGGGCACATGTCTGGGATTATGGACTCCATCCTCAGTTTGGGGTATGCAGGAGGTAGCTGATCTGTGATTCTCTCTCATCATTGAGGTTTCTAGCTACCTGTCCCACTCTTTTTCTGTCTTAAATTATATATATATGCCTACGTGACCATTATAACAGAATGACGGGAAGGACCAGTCACTATGATGCACTCAACACAGGAGCTGCCCCCAGCCCACAGGCTCGATTGCCAATGTGGCCTGCCAGCCAATCTCCTGGTCCCTCCCCCCAGCCAGCAGGCCCTGGTCACCCAATCAGGGCTGGGCCCCCAGGCTGGGGTGGGGAACTGGGGGTGGTGGTGGTGAAAGCGGGCGGCAAGGGAAGGAGGGCGGGAGGCGGGGAACCTGATCAGCCTTGATCACTGGCCAGGCCTAGGGACCCCACCCATGCATGGATTTCATGCACTAGGCCTCGAGCATATATATGTATATATATCCATTTCATGTTGACACTAGGCCACCAATTTCCATTCTTCTGCCCAGTGCATTGAGTCAGTGGTAGGGGGTCATGTTCCCTGTAGCTCTTCGGGAGCTTCAGTAGGATGTGGCTCTACCAGGTCCTTTTATGGTTTGGATTTTCAGTAGGTGCAGCTGATGTGGAGGTCCATTTCTTTACACACAGGAAGCTTTATGAAATGTTAGTCACAAATGCCCTATTTTGAGAAACCATTTTGCATATGAGAAGAATACTGTTGAAATAAAAACATTATTTTCCCAGAAACTTAAGCTTTGTATATTGATCAGGGTGATTCTGAAAGTTAAAAGTATAAATGTTAGAATGTTATGTTATTGGTTTTTTTTAATTTTTAAAAATATATTTTATTTATTTATTTATTTATTTATTTATTTATTTATTACAGAGAGAAAGTTAGAAACATCAATCAGCTGCCTCCTGCACACTCCTCTACTGGGAATGTGCCCATTACCAAGGTACATGCCCTTGACCGGAATCGAACCTGGGACCCTTGTGTCCACAGGCCGATGCTCTATCCCACATGTGTCAAACACAAGGCCCGCGGGCCAAATCCGTCCCGCCAGGCCTTGCAATGTGGCCCGCACCGCGCTGTCATCACTGCACTCCGCTGAGTTTCCATCACAATGACAGTTTATGACTGTTCATTAAACCATTCGGCCCGCGATTTAGGCTGGATTTTAGATTTTGGCCCCTTCTCTGATTGAGTTCGACACCCCTATCCACTGAGCCAAACCGGCTAGGACTGTTGTTGTTAATTGTACTATTACATTATGTATTCAATAGGAAATCATAGCCGAGACTGGTTTGGCTGCAGGAGGCAGCTGACCGATGTCTCCCTTTCATCAATGTTTCTAACTCTCTATCCCTCTACTTTCCTCTCTGTAAAAAATCAATGAAATATATTTTAAAAAATAGTAAATCATGGCTTAGCAATAAAAATTCCCTTCTTGGGGAGGGCAAAGGCCTTGAATGCCTTCGGAGCAAATGGACTTGATCCTCAGGGCAGGGGAGCCCCAGATGTAAGGGGCTCCTGTGAGGTCAGACAGATCTAAGGCAGATCCCAGTCCTGCTTGCAAGAGGCCTTAGTTTTGTTGTCTGGAGAATGCAGATGACAAGGGTAATACCTGTGTAAAGTGTTGGGGGATTGCGCTCCCATCTCTGGAGAGCTCATCCCAGTGCCTGGCAGAGCCGAGCAAATGGCAGTGGGTGCTCTCATCATCAAAGGGGCCTGAGCCAGGGAGCTGCCGCGGTCCGAGCTGGGCTGTAAGGGGTCTGGCTGCAGACTGACCGGTCGGGGGGACAGGCTGTTTGCTGTCCAGGGGATGGAGAACCAGGGCTGGCTTAGGAGGATTAGGAGATAACCGTGCAGACTCGGAGACTTTGGGCATTGCTTGTGAATAATATCTAACTTCTGAGCGTTTGGTGAGTCCCTGGGCTGGCTCCGGGGCTGGCTTGATGGTCCCTCTCGTCCTCCCTGCAGCCCGCTCGCGGACGCCATGCGGGGGGCTCCTTCGCCCTGGTCGGTGCGGCCGCCGCTGCTGCTGCTGCTGGTGCTGGGCTGCGGGCCGCGGGCGGCCGCCGGCGGCGGGGCCGGAGCGGCGGCGGGATACGCGCCGGTGAAGTACGTGCAGCCCATGCACAAGGGACCCGTGGGGCCGCCCTTCCGCGAGGGCAAGGGCCAGTACCTGGGTGAGTACTCCCCACCCTGCACTGGCCCCCGACGGCTGCGACCCCCCGCCCCCTGCCTGCCACCTCCACCTCAGGTCACGGCCGTCCATCACCGCCAGAGAGCCCACATCCTCGTTCTTTCTGATGCGGCCCCGGGCCTCCCACCGTCCAGGGCCTGGAGACGGGCGGGCAGCGGGGTCTGTGGAGGGGAGGAGGGGCGGGGGTTGTGGGGTGAGGATGGGGTGGGGGGCGGTCTGCTCCGACCGGCTCTGCGGACGGCTGCTGGCGCCACCTGGCGGCCGTTCCTCTCTAGCACATGCAAGAATGAGAGGCTCCCAACCGGGATAGGTAGGATGATGCTAGGAGCTCTGGTTGAAGAAACCCTGACGCCCCCAAGATTGCCACTGGCCCCCCCGAAACTCCACCTTCTGTCGGAGCAGGCCGTGGTCTTCACGAACAGAGACAGAGCCTTGTCTTCTCCCAGTGCTCTCCATGCTGGTGGGGGGAGTGGGTCGGAGAGTCCTCGGTCCCCACTGACCAGGCCCCTGACTGTGCCTTCTCTCTCTCTCTTTCTCTCAGAAATGCCTCTACCGCTGCTGCCGATGGATCTGAAAGGAGAGCCTGGCCCCCCTGGGAAGCCCGGGCCTCGGGGCCCCCCCGGCCCTCCCGGCTTCCCAGGCAAGCCAGGCACTGGGAAGCCCGGGCTCCACGGGCAGCCTGGCCCCGCCGGCCCCCCCGGCTTCTCCCGGACGGGCAAGGCCGGGCCCCCGGGGCTCCCGGGCAAGGCTGGGCCGCCAGGGCAGCCAGGGCTCCGGGGGGAGCCAGGCATCCGAGGGGACCAGGGCCTCCGAGGCCCCCCAGGGCCCCCTGGCCTCCCTGGACCCACTGGCATTGCTGTTCCTGGGAAGCCAGGCCCTCAGGGGGTCCCAGGACCCCCGGGATTTGGGGGGGAGCCAGGGCCCCAGGGGGAGCCTGGGCCCCCAGGTGATCGAGGTCTGAAAGGGGATAACGGGGTGGGCCAACCAGGGTTGCCTGGGGCCCCGGGGCAGGGGGGTGCCCCCGGACCCCCTGGCCTCCCCGGTCCAGCTGGCTTGGGCAAACCAGGTTTGGACGGGCTCCCTGGGGCCCCAGGAGATAAGGGCGCATCTGGCCCTCCCGGGGTGCCAGGGCCCAGGGGGGAGCCAGGGGCGTTCGGCCCCAAAGGGCCCCCCGGGATGGATGGGGTGGGGATTCCAGGGTCAGCAGGAGTGCCAGGGCTACAGGGCCCAGCGGGGGCCAAAGGGGAACCGGGGACCCGGGGCCCGCCTGGCCTGATAGGCCCCACGGGCTACGGCATGCCTGGGCTGCCAGGCCTCAAGGGGGACAAGGGCCAGGCTGGGGTTCCAGGGCTCTTGGGGGACAGGGGTGAGCCGGGTGAGGATGGGGAACCAGGGGAGCAGGGCCCACAAGGCCTTGGGGGCCCCCCCGGACTTCCGGGGTCTGCAGGGCTCCCTGGAAGACGTGGGCTCCCCGGGCCTAAGGGGGAGGCAGGGCCCGGAGGCCCTCCGGGGTTGCCTGGCATTCGGGGTGACCAGGGGCCCAATGGCCTGGCTGGGAAACCTGGGCTCCCAGGGGAGAGGGGCCTTCCAGGGGGCCATGGACCCCCTGGGCCGACTGGGCCCCAGGGCGAGCAGGGCGTCCCGGGCCGCCCCGGGGGGCCGGGGGCGGCAGGAGCCCTGGGGCAGAAGGGTGACTTGGGGCTCCCCGGGCAGCCCGGCCTGAGAGGCCCCTCAGGAATCCCAGGACTGCAGGGCCCGGCCGGCCCCGTGGGGCCCCAGGGTCTGCCAGGCCTAAAGGGCGAACGGGGCCTGCCAGGGCCCCCCGGAGAGGGCAGCGTGGGGGAGCCTGGCGTGGCCGGGCCCACGGGGCCCCCCGGGGTCCCGGGGTCCCCAGGACTCACAGGGCCCCCGGGGCCTCCGGGGCCTCCGGGCCCCCCTGGCGCCCCGGGGGCCTTCGACGAGACGGGCATCGCGGGCCTGCACCTGCCCAGCGGCGGCGTGGAGGGCGCCGTGCTGGGCAAGGGCGGCAGGCCGCAGCTCGGGCTGGGCGAGCTGGCGGCCCAGGCCACGCCGGCCTTCACCGCGGTGCTCACCTCGCCCTTCCCGGCCTCCGGCATGCCCGTGAGGTTCGACCGGACCCTCTACAACGGCCGCCGCGGCTACAACCCGGCCACCGGCATCTTCACGTGCCCCGTGGGCGGCGTCTACTACTTCGCCTACCACGTGCACGTCAAGGGCACCAGCGTGTGGGTGGCGCTCTACAAGAACAACGTGCCCGCCACCTACACCTACGACGAGTACAAGAAGGGCTACCTGGACCAGGCGTCGGGCGGCGCCGTGCTGCAGCTGCGGCCCAACGACCAGGTGTGGGTGCAGATGCCCTCGGACCAGGCCAACGGCCTCTACTCCACCGAGTACATCCACTCCTCCTTTTCAGGGTTCCTGCTCTGCCCCACATAACCCGCGGGCCCCGCTGCCCTGCCTCCTCCTGCGTAGTGGTAGAGAGACCTTCTCACGTACAAGGAACCTGCATTTAAAGAAAAAAAAAACCAAAGGCCGAACAGAGGCGGGAACGGAGGCGGCCAGGCCCAGGCCGTGGCCTGGGCCTCTGCCCGGGGAGACGGACCTGGTTTCTCCCTCCATGCAGGCGGAGGTTGCTTCTGGAAGAGGCCGGCCCGAGTGTTCCCCTCCCCTCGGTGTCTGTGCAGTGTCGGGGTGGGGACCCCATATCTGCCCTGCCTGGCCTGCAGGCAAGGCCCCGGGGCACTTGGTCCAGCTGTGGGAGACCCCGCCCCCCGCGTCCTGGGCTGTCCTGGGGGTGAAACGCTGCTTCTCTGTGCGTCAGAGCTGAGGGGACGGAGCTCCCCGTCCATCCCCGTGGGGGGACATGTTCCCAAGCCCTGCCCTTCCTGCTGGCCCACAGGTGGCACCTGCTCAAGGCATGGAGCACGGCCTCGCTGTTATTGGCCGGGGCTCTCTCAGCTCCCTGGGACCTCCAGCATAAGCAGTGGGCCCCCTGAAGGGTTTATTTCCTTCCAGGGGGAAGGGAAGGAGGGGGCCATGTGGACCCTCTGCCAGGCCTGCAGTCCCAGGGGTGAGGCGGTGGCATCAGGCATGTGGAGGTGTGTGGCCCCTGCTGCAGGCTCCTGGGAAGGGCCACCCCCTCTCCTGGTGCCAGCCGCAGCCACGGGGAATGGTGGTTTGTGAAGGGTGGGGTTGGGGCTGGGGCAGGATGGCAAGCCTTCGCATGCCTTTCCATCTCCTCGGCTGCCCCCACCAGCTCTGGCTCTGCTCAGCAAGAGGGCAGCTGCCCAGGCCCGGCGGGAGGGGCACAGGCAGTCCGTTCACCCCCTGGGGGGAGGGCTGATTTTCTCACAAAGTGTTAAGGGATCCTTGCCACCCCCCAACCTAAGTGACCCCAAAACACAGCCTCTCGTGTAGCCCTCAGAACAAGGTGCACACAAGCTCAGGCATGAGACTCCGCCTGCTTTTCCCTAATGAAAACCACGTGTGTGTGTGAGTGTGTGTGTGTGTGTGTGTGTGTGTGTGTGTGTGTGTGTCTACTAAAGGGTTGGCCTGGGGGGCCTCCTCTCCTCCCACCTCTGGTTCCAATTTCCTGTTCTGAGCAGGATTAGGGCCCTGGAGGCTGAGGCTGCCAGCAGGCCCCTTTGGAATGAGCTGGCTCTGGATGTGCCGCCCTTTCCCCAGCCAGAGCTCCCCTGCAGGAAACAGGCCGGTCTCCCTTCCCTTCTCCCCTCCCGCAGCGCCTAGTTCGAGCTGAGTGGATGAAGCTGGGATTCGGGCTGGGGCAGGGAAGGTGGACACTTGCCCGTGAAGGACAGCCACTCTCCCGGTGGCTTGGGGCCGCCCCCTCAGCCCTCCCGAAGCCAGCCCCCCTCTCTGGACCAAGTGTGAGCCTGTTGGTCATCGGCACCTGGTTGCACGGCTCGGCCTGGCGGGGCCAGAACGTCCAGTTGAGAACGGAGGGTGGAGGGTGGAGGGTGACTGCCGATTCTGACTCGCTGAGCTGTGGCTCCCCCAGGCCCCTGGCCGGTCGGTCCTCTTCCCACAGCAAAGCAGACTGTTTGACTGCTCATGCTAATGTTCAAGAGGAAAAATGAAAACCCATCTGCCCGAGTGACACACTAAGAACAGGCTTTGGTAAGGTCCACAGTGGGGTTCTCACTCCCCAACACCCAGGAGAGCTCTCACACCGCACCTGCAGGCCTTGTGCTCAGCCCCCTCCAGGGGCCAAGGCCCCGCCACCACCTGACCCCCCGCCGCCACCTGACCCGTTGGGGAGGGCTCCCCACGGGCAGAAATTCACCAGCTCCCAGTGAACCCGGGCTCGGAGGAGGATGTGGGGAGCCACAGAGGCTGTTCCAGAGTTTGTGCTGAGTCACTCCGGCAGCCTGTGGAAGGGGGGCCGGTGCTTCGAAATGCCACCTCCCAGGTGCTGTCTACCTAACTGGCTAGCTTTGGTAAACGATGTCCGGTTTTAACATGAAAACCACATTGTGCATTTTTATATTCTGATTCCTCACTTTTTTTTTTTTTTTTAAGGTTAAGGTTTTAATATTTCCCATTTAGTGATTTCATTTCTAACCTGGTAGAAGCAGCTTAGTTCTCTGCATACCTATGAAGTGCCCTGTGTCACAGAAGATTCAGAACAATTGCACTGGGGAATCAGAGAAAATGGGGCTTCTTTTTGAAAAGAAAAACAGCATGGACTGTTGACACGGCCTCAATAAAACCTGTTGTGTAAAAGCGCGCGTGCGGAGACTGGCATTGACGCAGAGGGGGCTCAGGCTGGCTCTCCTCAGGCACCCAGGGAGCTCGCTCTGTGCCCTCAGGGAGCTGCCGGCCTGGTTTCTGTTGCCACATCAGAAACACTCCACGCTCTGAGGCTGCCAAGAAGCATTTTCAGAAACCAAAGCAAGCAGGGGCTGGGGCTGGGGGAGAGGGAGCAAGCTTCCCTGGAACATTCCTGCAAGCGCTCAGGGGTAGTGGAGCATGACAGCTGGCTCAGGACCCCAGGGGCCAAGTTTCAGCATCTGATACAAATTATGAATGAAATCTTGACTCTTTGCTCTTGGGGGCGGGGCTAGTGCCAGGCCCAGTGTTCTAGCAGGGCCCACAGAGCTGTGCCCAGCTGTGGGGATTGGGATGGCGTAGCTGAGAAGGCCTGTGGTTTGCCCAGCCTGGCAGAACACTCTTGGCTGAGAGCGGACCCGCCCAGCTGCCCTGAGACCCCGGGCTAACTGCAGAGGGCATGCTCCTCTCCCCGGGGCTGGAAGGATGCCCCCGATGTTGGATGGAGGTGTCTCCTCCCTCTCAATTCTCCTTTCTTTGAAATGAAGAGGCGCAGAACTTCCTAACCAGCGAGGCCTGTGCCTGGGGCCCAGGAGGCAGGTGAGGCACAGCTTTCAGTCCACCCGGAGCACCTGGGTCGACGCACCTTCCCCACCACAGGCTGGCAGTCCAGGGGGAGGAGGTACCCTCCGCCTCCCCCTCCAGGGCTTGTTTTCGGTCTGGCTGGGGCTGGGCCTATCTGGGAGTGAAGTCAGGCTGTGAGAGCAAGGACATCTGCCTGTTTCTGCCCTGGACTGGGTCACTCTGCGATCTCCAACAGGAAACGGCCCCAAACCATGACTTCTGCCCTTCCTGGGCGAACAACACTGTGGGAATTTGCCTTGACAGCCCAGCGGCTCGTCGCCTTGGGTCCCAGCGCTGAGGCGAGCACAGCCCACAGAGGCACTAGACAGGAAAGGTCAAGGGGGAGCGTGCATTCGGGGCAGAGGAGAAACAGGAAACTGGTGGGATTTCCCAAAAACAGTTTATTGCTGTGGCTTCCGCTGGAAGCTGTAACAAGTCTGAAACGGCCACGGCTAGGTGTGTGTGAGATCAGATAGATTCAGGCGCCCGTCTCCTGGACCATGGAAACCTGCTGCTCTCAGTCCTGCCCAACTAAGGACAGGTGCTCTGGCACACAGACTAAATCCCAACAGGGAGAATGGATGCCATGCAGGCCATTTTCTCCCCACCCCATGTCCTAGGTCAGTGGTCAGCAAACTGTGGCTGGCGAGCCACATGTGGCTCTATGGTCCCTTGAGTTTTTAGCAAAGGCCAGCTTAGGAATACCCTAATTAATAACAATGTACCCACCTATATAGTTTAAGTTTAAAAAATTTGGCTCTCAAAAAAGAAATTTCAATCGTTGTACTGTTGATATCTGGCTCTGTTGAGTAATGAGTTTGCCGACCACTGGGCTAGCTAAAAGGAAAATGCCACACGTACCCACCAATAAACCTGCCCGGCTTCCTCGTGTCTGAGGAGCCGTGGTGCCCAGGCTCTGCAGTGAGCCAGAAACCCAGCACGAGGGAGCCCCCAGTCCTCACTCCCTGCTCCGGGGACCTCCCGGACCCCAGCCCCGGAAGCAAGGAAGACTGAGGCCGGGGGCAAAGCCCAAAGAAACGCAGGGTGTCCAGCCTGAGCTGTCGCTGGCCCACTGGACACGGCGGAGCCCGGCAGCTGGGCCCTCACAGGCTCTTCTGGAAGACCCGGTGCAGGCTCTGGGCCAGGGTGTCGGTCTCCTCGTAGCCCTCACAGCTTTGCTGCCAGCTCTCTGGCACCTGTTCCATCCCATAGTAGGCGCCAGCAATGGCCCCAGCCATGGTGGCAATGGTGTCTGTGTCCCCACCAAGCGAGATGGAATAGATGAGAGTCCTTTGGAGGCTGTTGAAGGTGGAGGGGATCTCGGGGTCTGGCTCCATGCAGCGCAGGAAGCAGTAGATGGCGGTGGGCACAGATTCAAAGGCGGCAATGCCGTTCCCTGTGGGGACACCAGATTATGGGGACTCCACACCCCCACATGTCCCTGGGTTTCCTGCCACTTGCCCCAAGTCTAAGGTGACCAGACGTCCTGATTTTTAACAATTTGTCCCATGTCCCGCGGCATTTTAGAAAAGTCCAAAAGATTTAAAAGAATCTTTCCAAAAATCGGGACTTTTTAAAAATGCCGTGGGACGCGGGACAAACTGTTAAAAATCGGACTGTCCCGCCAAAAGTGGGACTTCTGGTCTCCTTACCCAAGTCAACACTCTGAGCTACAAGTTGGGCTGTGACTCAGGTCACAGGCTCTCAGGTACACTACTGGGTTCAAATCGGGCTCCCCGTCCCCTGCTGGGGCTGGGAAAGTTCCCTGATGACCACGGTGCCTGACCTTGGGTGTGACGCCTGCAGAGGGAATCCGGTTAGGAGCTCCCGGGCTCGCGTGGGGGTGGAGGAGACCGAACGGACACCGCGCTCCGCAGAGTGCCCAGAGCACAGGGGACGTGCCATTAACCCACCAGTGGCTGTGAGAACGGTGGCCGGCGGCCACTGCTGGGGATCATTATCTGTGAGGCCGAAGGAGCTGCAGCCGCAGAGCAAGAAGACGCTACACTCCCTCAAAACCTGCCAAGGACCCTGCAGAGCTGGCTCTGCTGTCACAGCAGCCCCGGCAAACAGGTGATGGCAGGTCTGCCTCCTCGCTCCCCTCCCGTCCTGAGCCCAAGCCTGCCCCTAGAGCACATGTGTCAAACACAAGGCCCGCGGGCCAAATCCGTCCCGCCAGGCCTTGCAATGTGGCCCGCACCGCGCTGTCATCACTGCACTCCGCTGCGTTTCCATCACAATGACAGTTTATGACTGTTCAGTAAACCATTCGGCCCGCGATTTAGGCTGGATTTTAGATTTTGGCCCCTTCTCTGACTGAGTTCGACACCCCTACCCTAGAGGATGACGGTGTGGGTGTGGGGACTACTCACCCAGCTCAGACACCACCTCCTCTCTGGTCACTGCGTCCTGCTCTAGAAGCTCTCCGATCTTCTTCAGTCGGCTGGAGTACGGATGCTCCTCCATGCCCAGCCTGTGAGTCGGGGTGGGGGGTGAGGGGAGAGTGGTAAGATTGCAGGAAGAAGGTTGTGTGAGAGGTGAGAGGGTCGTGAGGCAGGGGGAGGAGGGATGCAGTCAGGCTGACACCCAGGCCCAGGTGTCCTCACAAAAGGGAGGGGACTGGGTGAGCCGCTCGTTTCGTGGGACCCCGAGCCTTGCGAGAAGCCCAAACCCGGCCAAGGGCCTCTCGCCCTCCCTAGGTGGGCAGTCACAGGAGGAGGGCTCTGGTGCGGCAACGCCAGAGGCGCCCACGCCATGGGCAGGCACACTCACACGCACGCCTCCAGCCGTCTCCACGCCACATACTCACTCCCTGGCATCCGAGACGGACTGGACGTCGCTCTCCAGCTCTTCCATGTGGCCCAGGAGTTGCTTGAGAAAGCGCTCACCGGACGACTCCCCCTGCAGAGCCAGGTGCACGGCCAGGGCCTGCAGGACGGCGCCGTTGTAGCCCAGAGAGCTGGCGTGTGTCAGCTGGGCCGAGAGCCGGGCGAACTAGGGCGGAGGCAGAGGAGGCTGAGACCTGCCGTCGCAGAGCCTGGGGCGGGGCCGGGGGAGGGGACAGCCCAGAAGCCCGGCTGCCCAGGCTACCTTCTGCACGTCCTGGATGCTGCTGTAGGCCAGGGAGATGCCAGCCACCCGCATGGCACCCCCGTTGCCATAGGAGCCTTTCCCGTTGAACTGGGCCCGGGCAGGCTCGTAGACGTCTCGGCACTTGGGGCTCAGGAGCTTCTTGAAGACGGTGATCACTCCGGCGCCGTAACCCCGATCAGGGTCTCTCTTGTACTCCTGAGCGAACCTAGGGATGGAAGGGACACGGCCTGAGGCTTGCGGACGCCTGTCAGGGCTGGAGAGAAACCCGCCGGTGAGGGAGCTGAGGAAGTCCCGGGACCCGGGGAGCCCGCGGCGGCAGGGAGGACCATTCTAGCTCCCGAAGCTCAGTGGCCCCAGAAACAGTTTCCTGCCGAGGGTGGGGGTCCCGGCATGCGTGACATCACTGCTCTGGTCAAGGGGTGCAGTAACGCGGCCCCCTGGTTTGCCTCGCCCCAGGACCCTTCCCCTCACCTGTGAGCCATGTCCACCTCGTCGAAAGCCTCCTTGGACAGCAGGGACTGCACGAGGGCCCTGGACATGGCGGTGTCATCTGTGTAGTACAGAGCTTCTGCGGGGACAGGCGGGGCGGGAGGGAGGGAGCTCAGAGTGGCAGCTCTGGCTTCGCGCGCATTCCCTTCGCGCACCACTTCCAGAACGCCTCCGCCTCGCCCTCCCACCTCGCCCTCCCACGGTCTCCTGGGCTCTGGGTCTTGAGATTTTCAGCAATTCTTTGTTCTGAGACAGTGACCATGTCCTGCTCATTTCTGAAAGAAATCCTTCCACCCCCTTCTGGCTGCCATCCCTGCAGCCTACTCTTAAAAGAAAAAAATTGTATTTTTATTGATTTCAGAGAAGGGAGAGGGAGAGAGAGATATAGAAGCATCAATGATGAGAGAGAATCATTGACTGGCTGCCTCCTGCACACCCCTCACTGGGGATTAAGCCTGTAACCCAGCACGTGCCCTTAACCAGAATCAAACCTGGACCTTTCAGTCTGCAGGCTGATGCTCTAGCCACTGAGCCAAACTGGCTAGGGCAGTGCTTCTCTTTTCCCCCTATTAATTTATTTTAATTTTATTCTTTATTGATTTGAGAGAGGGGGAGAGCAATTTGTTGTTCCACTCATTTATGCATCCATTAGTTGGTTCTTGTATGTGCCCTGACGGGGGATCAAACTGCAACCTTCGTGTATCAGGATGACACTGGGCTGCCCGGTGTCTTAATACGACCTGCTTTGGGCCTCTCAAGTTTCCTGCACATTTCCTACCCTGCAACCCATCCTCCACGTACAGCCAGATAATTCTTCTTAAGACTAGACCATCACTTTCCTTATCTCACTCTCCTGCTCAAAATGGCTACCCGTTTGCCTTCAGGATGAGGCCCAAATTCACTGCTGTGGTATTCAGAGCCCTCCCTCCTCACTCATCTCAGGTCCCACCATTCCTCTACATGTTCCTAGGATCAGCCTTGGAGCCTGGGTCTGTCCTTTCCAGCTGGGACTGCTCCCCTCCCTCCTCCACCCTCACTCCCTCCTCTGGGTGCCCAGGAGTACTGCTCTGGCATTTTCAACGCAGCACCATTGTGTATGTGGTGACTTAGCCAATAGGGCTAAGGCTAGGGACTGGGTTTTATTTGAGGAATTGGTTACAGCCCGGCAGTGTGGCTCAGTGGTTGAGCATCAATCTAAGAACCAGGAGGTCTAGGTTCAATTCCCAGTCAGGGTAAATGCCCAGGTTTCGGGCTCAGTCCTCAGTATGGGGCGTGCAAGAGGCAGCCGATCAATGATTCTCTCTCATCACTGATGTTTCTCTCTCCCCCTTCCTCTCTGAAATCAATAACAAACAAAAAACAAACAAACACAAAAAACAAAAAAAAAAACACGGTTCTTACATCTGGTCTTCACTTCATCTCTCCCCTCTTTGTACCAAATCATACTCGATTTTCTCATTTTCCATTTCCTCCTAAACCCACTGGAATCTAGCGTCCAGGCTTCAACCTTCTACTAAAATGCTTTTCTAGATCCAGACTTCTCTCTTCTTCCCGGCTCTGTAGCATCCCAGTGACCAGAATCTTCATCTTGAAATGTTCTCAGGTTCTGTTGATACCCATGCCGCTATCAAACTGCTTCTTCAGCCCCTCTTCCTTACTGTACCACATCTTCTCCAGGAAGCAGCACCCACTGCCTGACCTCAGACGGCATCCTGAGCTGGGATCTGGGTGAGGAGTTGGTTGCACAGCGGGGTCGGGGGAGCGCCTTCACCAGCATAAGAAGGGCCGCCGCCGCACGGCCTGGTCTAAGGGAGGCGGGATGTGCGCGGGGCCGGCGGCGGAGAGGAGCGGGCCTGGCAGAGAACTTAGCTCTCCCTCCGGGGACGGAAAATCACTGCGGAGCCTCCTGCGAGGGGCACCGCCGGCAGGTCTCCGTGTTGGAAGAGCACTCGCTGCTGTGTGGAGAGGACTGGGGCCACTGATTTGAGACAACTGGGCGGAGACGGGTAAACCCAGAGGGTGTGATGCCGGACCCGCGCGACTTCGGGTTCCGCCGGCGCGTCCGGGAGGACGGGGTCGCCACGCCCGAGGCGGGAAAGGTTCGGGCGGGACGCCCGAGGACGGAGCTCGGATGTGGACACGCTGAGCCCGAGGTGCCCGCGCGGGCAGTGCAGCCCCTGGAGCCGCCCCTCCCCACACCCGCGTCCCGACCGCGCTCCGGCCGCCCGGTCCCCCCGGGAGCCCCGCCGCCCGGGCCCCGGGCGCGGCCCCGCCCACCTGTCCGCGCGCTGCCCGTCGCGCCGGACTCGGGCTCCAGGCTCTGGACGTGACGCAGCACTGACGTCAGGCTGACGGTGTCGTGCGCCTCGTAGATGGCGCCCACGCAGTCCCCGAGCAGCGCGCCCGCCAGGCAACCGCGGAAGCGGGAGAGGGAGCGGGCCGCCCCAGCCCCACCGCAGCTCGCCGCCGCCATCGCCGCCGCCGCCGCCATCCGCGCGGGCCCGCCACCACTTCCGGTGCGACCTGCACGCGCCTCCCCGCGCCTCCCCAACCCCGGCGGCCTCGCGCCCCAGCCCACAGCGCCCCCTCGTGGCTCTGAATCGCGGCGCCGCTTGCGACCCACAGCGCCACCCAGCGGCCCGGAGGCGCAGCTCCGCGTGCGTGGGACTGGGCTAGGTCCCGCACCGCTGGTTGGCTTCCACCAGGCCTCTGCTTGTAGGCCTCCTTCTCCCCACCTGTAACCGGTGTCACGCCGGGCGAATGGCCACTAAAGAGTCCAGGAGGGGCTATCGGAGCGCGGTAGCTCTGCCCTTCAGGTCACTGCCACCCGGGTCCTGCCTTTATGAAAGCCTCTTTCTTTGTCCCCTCACCCCAGCCCCAGTTCTTGGTCCCCGGCTCCCACTGGAATCATAGCCTTCTTTGGGCCCTCCCTAGGCATCAAGAGGGCAGGTAAGGGTCCTGCTGAGGCTTGGCTGGTTCGAAATCATGCCACTGGAGCCCAGAGGGTGCTGGCCTACACCTGAGGGGTCCCTCAAGAGGGAGAAGGAATCAGATTTGGAACATGGAGCTTGGGGGATGATGGTCCCTGTTTATGCCTCTCCCTTCACAGGAGGGCCGCTAGCCTTCTCACACACCGCTGGCTGCATGCAGGAGTAGCAGAAAACCTTCTAGACTGAGAAACCCGACATTTATTAGATTCATTCTATCTCCTTCCTCTTCCATTTCCCTCCTAACCTCTATCTTCTTTATTCTCTCTCCCCCTCCCCCCTCTCCCTCCCCCCCACCTCCTCGGCCTCCAAGGCTAGGCTAGCTGCAGCTGGCAGCTTTTGAGTGGACTCAGGGTACGATTTGTGGTGCGGTTGAAGGTGTCCACCTCAGGCACAAACTTCTCGGCTGGCACCGTCAGCTTCCGGCGAGTGTCCATGCACTTGGTGTCCAACAGCATGGAGTTGGCCTTGCAGGCGATGTCGGCCTGCAGCCGGGCCAGGTGCTTGAACAGGGCATCCAGAGCATTCCTGAGAGGGGGAGGCAGCAACAACCCACCACCCCCGCGTGAGGCTGGAAGGTGAAGGAAGCCAGCGGGGAAGCCAGCAGGCAGCAAGAGGCCCCATGGGTGAGGGTGTCTCCCTGCCCCTCCGCCCACTCCCCAAACCTACTGTGCTTGTGCCAACTTCTGCCTCAGGGCAGCGATGGTTGCCTCTAACTGGTGAACCTCGTCGGTGAGGCCATACTGTGCCTGCAGGCAGAGGTGAGGGTTGGGGGTCAGCCATGCTAGCCGTTAGCCCATAGGCCTGGGCACCCCCGCTCCACCAGGAATGTGTGCTGGGGAGTGAGCGGTCCTGAGGAGACGTTAGCGGGGGGGCAGTGCCCACTGGGGTCCCCTCGCACCTGGTCCCGGCAGAGTTCCACGTTGGGCCGGTAGGTTCTGTACTCGAGCCGCGTATGGCACAGCTTCAGGTTCAGGAACTTCCTGCGCAGATCTTCCTCCAGGTGCCGGATGTCCTCCTGCAGGTCCGCGATCTCCTGCAAGGTCTGCGGGGGGGCGGAGCGGGTGGTCTCCAGCGGCTGCACCCACCACTGCGCACCCAGGGCTTGCCGGACCGACACTGGCCGTCTCCTCCCACAGCGGGAAGTCCCAGACCCAGGAGACGAGTGGAGAAGGCTCACATTCTTCTCTTGCCACTTGAGCTCACTGTAAAGTTTCTCCATCTCCCGCAGCCGCTTTCTGAAGGCAAATTCCGTGGCAACCCTCTGGGCTTCAAGTTCATTGTTGGTCTGAAGGACGAGATGTAGGCCGGGCAAGACAGGGTCTGAGTTCAAGACCATCTTGAGGATGTTGCTCAAGTGAAGGGTTGGGATGTCCCACGGCCAACAGGGGACAGAAGCTAAAGGCTTGAGGGCATCCTCGGGCCACCCATGAGCCATGGGAGGGCAGGGTCAGGGGAGTGGCCAGTTACCTCAGCAATAGTGAGGGCGATGGCCTCCCTCAAGTCTGCGGCCTCTTTCATCTCAGCCTCTGCCCGGTTCTTGTTGAACCGACTAAATTCATCCCACTCCTGGAGCGCGGTGGAGCTGCGGGTGGCGGGAGATGGGGGGGTCATAAGAGTATGGCCACTGTGGGGGTGCAGGGAGGAGAGACCGAAACACTTCTTACCCGTCAGGGACACGTGTGGGGTTAATCTTCAGAGAGATGTTTGGGGACTTGAGGTTGAGAGAGAGGCAACCTCTGTCAATGTCCAGTGTCTCCATTTTGCCCCGATGGTCAGAGTTGAGCTGCTGTCGGACGTCCTGCAGGATGCTGGGGCAGGAACAGCCTAGCTCAAGACCCATCCAGCCAAGGCCCCAAGGACTTAGCCCCCATTGTGCTCGAGGGCCTGGGGTGGGGGGGAGGGGAGATGGGGAGGCTGGAGTGACAATGGAGCTGCTGCCACTGCAGCCGAGACAAAGACCAGCATAGTTGGATAAGCTCCTCACAGACAAAATTATGACACTCACGTGCTTACAACCACTCGCGTTAGTTGCACTCACCAAGGCTCACACACACAATGGGGTGTTCAGTCAGGTTGGTGGCAGATGGGCTTCATCTCCCACGCTTCCCGTCAATCGACAGTGGCTCCCTAGAGCCGTATTCTGAGACCGTGTCCAGGCAGGGGAGGAAGTGGCATCATCGGCTAGTGGTGTTTGCCACGGGCACTGCAGGGACCGAAGGTCGCCCACAGTACGAGTGCTCTGCTCCAGGACACACAGCCTGACGTGCAGGGGAGCTCGAGTACGACGCCGCTCCCTTACCAGAGCTTCTCAAACGTCTGGCCGATCTTCTGCTGCAAGGCCCTCCTGGTGGCCTCAATGGTCTCCACCTCCTTGTGCAGCTCCTCCTCCACAGGGTCCTTCACCACGTCGATGTCCCGCCGGCTGTCCCGCAGGGTCAGGCACTCGACCGCCACATCCAGGGGCAGGTTCTTGGCCTGCAGGTTCTGCTCTGCCAACTCTTTCATCTAGAACAGAAAGGCACTGGAGGCTGCTGGGCCCTTCTCCGAGAAGCAACTCTCATTCCCACTTTATTTTATTATTTTTTATTTTTTTAAAAAATATTTTTATTGGTTTTTCACAAGAGGAAGAGAGAGGGATAGAGAGTTAGAAACATCGACGAGAGGGAATCATCGATCAGCTGCCTCTTGCACACCCCCTATTGGGGATGTGCCCCCGCAACCAAGGTACATGCCCTTGACTGGAATCGAACCTGGGACCTTTCAGTCCATAGGCCAACGCTCTATCCAATGAGCCAAACCAGTTTCGGCTCCCACTTTAACAAAGGGGCCAGGGAGTGGCTCAGGTGCCCCAGGAAGGGTTCCCTGACCGCCAGGTGGGGAGGAGGGCAGGTTCTGGCCGCCCGCGGGGTCTCCTGGCACCCCGCCCTAGCTCCCTGCCTGTGTCAGGGCGTCGATCTCCGCGTCTAAATCCGTCAGACACTTGTCCAGCATCTCCTTCCACCGGTTGACCGTATCAACCCTCTCCGCCAGCCGAGTCCTGTTGTCATGTTCATCCCAGATGGTCTGGAAGAGACGGAGCCGGGTGAAGAGGGCGTGTGGGGGCGGGGGCCGGCCCTTCGCCCACCTGAGCTCCTGTTCTCCACCTGGTTGTTGGTCTCATTGCGGAGGACGCGGGCCTCCTGGCGGATCTGGTGAGACGCATCTCGCTGCCGCTCCGCGTTGGTGGACAGCAGGTAGCTGTTGGTGTGCCATTCCTGCAACTGGAAGCGCTGGCTGGGCTTGACGCTCAGCGTGGCCATGGCGCTGAGGCCCTAGGCCTGTTCCAAGATACCCACCGCCTCTGCTGGAGAGGAGAAGCAAGGTCTAGTCCGTCCTCTCCTAGATCCAAAGATCCCTCCAGGGACCAGACCACGTGGGAGTCTGTACTTGTTCTTTAATAAATTTCCGCCTTCGCTATAAAATAAAAATAAAAAAACTCCCCCCCAAAGGACCTGCTCCTGTCCCTTTTGTTCCCAAACCCTCGCTGCAGGAAGCCTGCTTGGGAACAGCTCTCCCATTTGCTCACCTGTGAGGCTTTCACTAAGTTTCCTCCCACCCATCCACCCACAGACACACACGCCTGGACCCTGCAGGTCCCCGACTCGGAGCAGGGTGTGTGTGCTGCCGAGTGCTTAGTGGGGCTGGTGGTGGGTGGGGGTTAGCAGGAATAATAGCCCTTAATCCAGTTTCCACCCCCTACTTCCAGCAGTCAGGTCCTGGGGAGCTTTCTTTTCTTTCTCCGCCCCAGCTCTGCTCAGGACCTGAGCGGGTTCTAAGAAAACCGGCCCTGTTCTCCTCCAGAGAGGGGGCTCGTTTTGCAGGGAGTATGGGCTGGCACAGAGGAGTGTTGTTGTTTTTTTGGAGGGGGGGATGCGCTTGTCCCTTCCTCACCTGTCACCATACTCCCTCAGCCCCTGTTGGAGGAGGAGCAGCCGGGCTCTGTCCGGTTCCCAGGCGCACCCCACCACTCCCTCCCCCAGGGTAATCCTTTTTGGTTTAAATTAATACCCTGGCGGCGGCGCAGAGAACGAACGAGGAGGGAGAAAGGGAGGGAGCGCGGGCCTGGGTGTGAGTCCTCACAGCGTCCCAGCTCCCCTAGCCTCTCGCCTCCTTCCCGGCTCAGACTGCCGCCAGCTCCTCTGTTGCGCACCCGGTTGCTAGGCACCCGCCTATCAGCGCGCTGGTAACCAGCACCCGCGTGTTTACCTTGGCAACCGCGGGGCTGGGGCGACGCCGGCAGCTGCGGCTGCAGGAGGGACCGCGAGGAGGAGGAGCAGGAGGGGGAGGAGGGGAAGGAGGACGAGGGGGAGGAAGAGAGCAGTAGGATATGGCGTTCATTTCATTTACAAGATAAACGTTTTAATTTTGATCAAAGTTATGTATGCATCAACATGATAAAACCTATGCACACAGAAAAAGCAATCCCCCGCTCAGGCGCATGCCCCAGTAGGTATCCTTCCAGAATGTAAATGTATTTACACGCATTCCTTTGGTCCTGTCTTGTCCAACATTTTCATTCACCTGCTTGATGGCACAGAGGGAGAGATTATCGTATTTGGAAAGGCACACGCCTGGACTATTATTATAGAAGGAATGCTCAAAATCCAACCATTTAAGAGAGAAGGAAAAATAATTCAACCGTGCCAGTGTTGCTCTAGGCCTAACGTTTAATGTTCATAACTATTACATAAGCGTTATCTCCATTGCCACAGGTATCTGAGGACTGGCCCTGCTAGAAGGCAGGGGTGTCCTCGCCGGTGTGTCTGGTCCCCAGGTCCACGTCCTCTGCGTCACGACTCCACACTGCCTCTAGTGGCGGCGCGGGAAATCGAGAGGAAGGCCGGGATGAGATTTCCAACACATCCTTGGTTCTCCTCTGGGGGCAGTGCGGAGCAACCTTAGGAATGGCGTGCTGTTACCTTGTCCGTCTTACAGGAAGGAAAGTTGAGGCATAGAGAAATGAGGAACGTTCCCAACGTCACATAACCAAGTGGACAGTCTGTCTCAGAGGCCAAGTTCAGGTTTGATGGATGAGGGAAAGAGAGGCGTCCAAGAAGAGAGTCCTCAGTTTTGAAACCTCAGTGATTGATGGGATTATGTTATTCTTCCACAAAAGGAGGAGGGCTTGGTAGGCCAGGGGAGGATAAAGTTGGCTTCTGGGAAGTGTGAGATGCTTGTGGTAAATCCAGGCGCTGTCCAGAAATGCGAGTCTGCAGAAACTGAGGCTAGAACACTTTCCAAACCTCTTTGACCACAGAATTTTTCCCCCATAGGATATTCTCTAAATTCTAATATATGACTCATCAACCAGACACAAATGGAAATTTGTGATATAGCTCATTTATTAGGATTATTATTATTATTTATTTTATTTTATTTTATTTTTAATATTTTATTGATTTTGTACAGAGAGGAAGGGAGAGAGAGTTAGAAACATCGATGAGAGAGTCATTGATCAGCTGCCTCTTGCACACCCCCTACTGGGAATATGCCCACAACCAAGGTACATGTCCTTGACTGGAATCAAATCCAGGACCCTTCAGTCCCCAAGCCGACGCTCTATCCATTGAGCCAAACCGGCTTTGGCTAGGATTATTATTATTTTTAAATATATTTTATTGATTTTACACAGAGAAGAATTGAGAGGGATAGAGAGTTAGAAACATCCATGAGAGAGAAACATCGACCAGCTGCTTCTTGCACACCCCCAACTGGGGATGTGCCTGCAACCAAGGTACATGCCCTTGACCGGAATCGAACCCGGGACCCTTCAGTCCGCAGGTTGACGCTCTATCCACTGAGCCAAACCGGTTTCGGCTCGTTTAGGATTAAAGAAGACAGGAAAAAAACCCTACCATCTTGGAGATTATTTGCTGGGAGAAATGATCAAATTTTGGCTTATATGGTTTGAAACAACAGAAAGAAGGAAACAAATATGGCAGAATGGCGATGGTTTTGGTGTATGTCTCTGACTGTGGTGTCGCCCTTGGTATTCAGACTCACAAGATTCCACACATCCTGGCCAAGGGAAGAAGATATTAGCAGAAAAGGTCAGGCGGCTGATGAATTGGAGCGAGAGAAACAGAGTGATAAAAACAAGTAAATGGGGGTGGGGGTGGGGGATTGAAATGGGGGGTTGAGGACAAATATGTGATACCTTAATCAATAAAAAAAAATGAGTAAAGCTGTGCTCTATTATTTTGCAAGAAGCTATTTTTGTGATGTTTGCTGCTGTCCAGACGTTATATCATGTGTAATATGCCAGCACGCTGCTAAAGAAGTTTAGATCTTAGATATAACTGGCCACACGCACTCCAGTGCGTTCACGAGGAAGGTATATTTTGCTATGGGGATTATGATAGAAACCCCGAAGCCCTTCAAACACTCCAGTTGTTATCAGTTTCAAGTTCCCACTATTTTTCTGCGAAAAGGAAATTTAGATGACATTTACCATTTGGAAGAAAGGGGGCTCCTAGCTGAGCAAATGGCCAAATTGGTAGCTGAGAGCAGAGGGAAGGAAGGTCAACATCAGAATTAGACCACCTACAAATTATCCCAATCCCTTCCTGTTGGGGATTTTTTTTGGTTCTTATTGGTGGACATGTGTATTTATTGAACTGGAATGGGAAATTTATTTTTAACAATTTGTGGGCAGTTTTAGCTCAGTGTTTTGTGATCATGATGACATCTGGTCAAATGTGTCTCAGTGGTTGAGCATCAACCCAGGAACCAAGAGATCATGGTTTGATTCCCAGTCAGGCCACATGCCTGGGCTGTGGGTTCAATCCCCAGTAAAGGGAGGGGGGGGGTGCAGGAGGCAGCTGATCAGTGACTCTCTCTCATCTTTGATGTTACATATACCCAAAGGAGGAATCCTCACACAGGAGAGGAGTGAGCTACCCTCAGTTTGTAGCAGAAATAGACATAATTTCTCTGTTTAATATATGCAGTACCCTAGGAGAGGTGCTCTTAGATAAAAAAGTCATATCTCATATGACTATTAAGAAGGAGTTGTGTTGAAACCGGTTTGGCTCAGTGGATAGAGCATCGGCCTGCGGACTGAAAGGTCCCAGGTTTGATTCAGGTCAAGGGTACATGCCAGGGTTGCAGGCTTGGTACTCAGTAGGGGGCATGCAGGAGGCAGTCAACCCATGATTCTCTCTCATCATCGATATTTCTCTCTCTCTCTCTCTCTTCCTCTCTGAATTCAGTAAAAATATATTAAAAAATTAAAATAAAAAGAGATCATCCTATATAACAAAGAGGTAACATGCAAATTGACCATCATTCCAATACACAAGATGGCCACCCCCATGTGGTCAAAGATGGCTGTCCCCATGTAGACACAAGATGGTCACCACAAGATTGCCTGCAGGGGATGGCAGTTAGGGGTGACCAGTCATGCAAGGGAGCAACCAGGCCTTCAGGGGAGGGCAGTTAGGGGTGACCAAGCCTACAGGGGAGGGCAGTTGGGAGCAACCAGCCCAGCAGGAGAGAACACATTTAGGGGTGACTGGGCCAGCAGGGGAGGGTAGTTAGGGGCAATCAGGCCTACAGGAAAGGGCAGTTAGGGGTGCCTGGGCTGGCAGGGGAGGGCAGTTGGAGGTGACCAGGACTGCAAGGGAGGGCAGTTAGGAGTGACTGGGCTGGCAGGGGAGGGCCATTAGGGGCAATCAGACTGACAGGGAAGGGCAGTTAGGGGTGACTGGGGTCAGCAGGAGAGGGCAGTTGAGGGTGATCAGGCCTGCAGGGGAGGGCAATTAGGGGCAATTGGGCCAGCAGGGGAGCAGTTAGGTGTTGATCAGGTTGGCAGGGGATGGTTAGGGGGTGATCAGACTGGCAGGCAGAAGCAGTTAGGGCAATCAGGCGGTCCTGGATTATGAGAGGGATCCCAGATTAGAGAAGGTGCAGGCTGGGCTGAAGGACACCCCCCCCCCCCGCCTATGCACGAATTTATGCATTAGGCCTCTAGTTAAAAAAAACCACAAAAAACTCAAAAACTATTTTAAAAAGCACTTTACTTAAAACTTGGTCAGCTGATTTATTCTAATATGAAAAATTATTGGGTCGGCAGCTAAGTAATTGCGGGTTTCACACATATATGGCTTCAGTTGAATTTTTAGGTTTGCAGACGTAGTACAAATATAAAACACATTTTGTTATTTGATAGTTGGCTATTCAGCTGTTAATCAGTAAAAAAAGTTTTTTGATCTGTTTTGTAGTTTTCGTTTGGCGTTTGTTGAAAAATGGAAAATCAAAAGGAACATTTTTGTCATATTTTGCTTTTTTATTTCCACAAAGGGAAAAATGCATCCCAAGCTCATAAAAAGTTATGTGCTGTTTATGGTGACGAAGCCTTAA